TGTCAATTTACATGTTATCGATATGTGTTGGTTGTTGTGCAAAAAAAAAAAACCCGATTATAACCAGCCAAAAACTGTATAGCAAAAAAAAAAAAACACAATTATTCAAGCGTTCATAATCTTAAATTTAATAACTATGAACAAAAAAATTTTATGTTGTTATAGACTAAACTAAACCCAAACTGTTATTGCCATTGTCCCCATTAATAGTATACCAAAAAAGAAGGGAACAGAGAAACTATCGCAACATTAAACTTAAACTTCTTTAACTCAAGCACACAACCCGTATAGGTTGCCTCAGATTATCCTCTGTGATTAATACGCTTTATTTAAAGTAAAAAAAGAATTGGCAAAAAAACGAAAGAAAAAAAACATACAGCTACTACACTGGTACCGCACAGAAACCGTTACCATTGTACAGAACTGATAAACAGAACGATGAGGACACCGCAACAGCATTTGGTTATCATTATGGAAACCACTGATAGTGATGATGATGATCGGCATCAACTGAGGTAAGAGTATGGGTTTAATTTCCTGAAATGGTTCCCAGACAAAATTGCTAGAATTGTTTTCAAACTGGTTGTTTTGTTAAGTGTCGTCATTATTCCAACTTATTGAATACACCACAAAAAACACTTACCCAAGGTTAAAATGTCGATACCGCCAAGGTTTCTGCCATAGTTTATTTATCCTTAGTCTTTTTTTCCCTCTCTACTTACACACAAACACACAAAAAAAGAAACAAAAAACGATAGCAAACTAAATTTAACAAATAAGTTAATAGATAAATGATTTACTGCATTTTTTAAATGCCCTTACGTACTCTAAAGTAAAATTATGAAAAAGAAAAAAGGACTAATCGCAAACAGATAAATTTTTGAAGCAACTATTTTTGATAACCATCAAAACAACAGTGGTTTCCCAGAAACGTTCATTAAAACTATTCCTTTCCTTCTGTTCTGTTTATAATCAAAAAAAACCAGAAGAAAAAAAATACCAACCAAAAAAACTGTCTATAGTAAATAGGAATATAAAATTTTGTCAAACTCTTACAATATCCAAATTTAACAGATCAAATAACAATAAGCAATTGGAGAAAAACTTGAATCAAAATTAGATATTTTATTTATCGCTACAATACTATTCTATAATTCGTTTCAAGTTTTCCTTTTTTTTTTTTTTTTTTATACTGATTAAACAAATTATTTTACAAATATTTCAGTTACTACTTTTTTTCAAAAAGAGAGAGGTACTGAATTCGCAAAGAGGGTTAAACCAGTTTGTTCAGCCATTTAAAAACCATTTTGCAGCAACAACAGCACTAAAAACAAGACTTCAAAAACGGTATCGTCATTGATACTAACAGTAATATAAAGTTCAAAAAAAAAAAAATAAATGAGTGAAAAAATGCTAAAATAATTAAAACTAAAAAAACAGAAGCAAGAAATAAATGAATAAATTTGTTCACCACCCGATAATCCAGAAGAAAAAACCACAGTTGGGTTAACTGACAAACAGATACAGTGCGCTTAAGAGTATCGCTCTTGAAGCACAGCGGTGGTAGCCACCGATGAGTGGGGAACGAACTGCAGCAAACGTCATACCATCCATCGATTGGCAAAACCACTAGTCACCAAATTGTATTCTAGTCAATTTGATATCAGTTCGAAGTACCAAAACAAAAACCTTGTTTAAAACCACAAAAATATACCACATAAATACACTAAACAACAAAAGAAAAAAATGTGTATCTAGTTTAATGCAACGTGCAGCTTTTTGTTCTTCGTATTTGATGATTAAAATGATAATAAAAATGTTAAACCATTTACAGCAAAAATCAGCCTTTCAATTTTTTCTTGTAATCCTCTGTCAGCATTATTAATTACAACTACGATGATCAATTGTTATCTCATCTTTATTCTTTTTTTTTTATCTGGTTTTTTTCTCAAAAAAACTGTACACTTTTAATGTACAGTTTTTTGTTTTTTATATTTTTCAATTTTCTCTATCTCTCACCCATCCTACTCCCCCTTTCCTCTCGCTTTCTTTCCCCAAAACTGCCTAGTTGTAGATATTTTTGACCTGTCGTTACTGCTTTGAACTTAGGTGAAGAGTTATAATCTTTCATTGAGGAAGAGTCATTAAGAATTGTTGCTATTTGATACAATTTTAAGTTGAAAAAAATCTGTTGAAGAACGAGGTGAAGGAATAAAACTGACAAAACCGTGATAAAAACTCCAAAATTTAAGTAAAAACTGGCTTAAACACCTTGACGGCGTAGCCTTCGCTACCTTCAGCAACCATATCCTGTCAGCATATTTGCAGGAACCCTTCGCCTTTCTTCTTCTACCTCATCTTTTTCTCTAATTTTATTCACCTAAACAGTTTTTTGGTTTTATAACTAACGCTTAATCATTTTTACAACACTATCATCGCTTAGCCTTTCTCCTGCTAAAAAAAAAGGGAGTACAGTACAAATGTTTGTTTTTTTTTTCGATTTCAATTTGAAAACAACTCTAGCGCTGCCTTGACCACAACATATATAGCGGTAAAACGAAGTTCACGAAGCAGGCAAATAGACAAGAAAAACTAACAAAAATTTTACTTGTAATTCATAATATATTAATTATAAAACCTTTTTCTGCTTCAAACGGTTGAAGCATTCAGTGTCAAAAAAAGACTTACTTTTTTTTTGTATGTTTCCTTTCGCTGAAAGCACTTTGCAATTTTATAACCTTCACAAATCTTATAACTGGATTAAAGCTGTTCGAAGAAAAGGATAGACAAACATCTAAAGTGACCTTTAGAACTGACATTTGTTGACAATTTTCAAAAAACTAAAATGTCTGTCACTTTTCTCGCATTTTTCTAAAACAACTCGCCACCCTAATAAGCGCTAAGTGGAGAATAACATAGGTACGGGTCTGGAATTGTTAACTTTTTAAAAGCTGCTTTTGTTGTCCAAATAAGCAACTAAAAACTTGGTTATTTCCAAGATTTTGCAGCCAAGATAACAGGACCGCAGCACACCATTGTTTTCGGCGCGATCTTTCAACAATTCTGTTATAAATCGGTGATTTAGTGTGGCCTATATAAATCTGTTAAGGGTCACGCAAAAGCTGGTTGCTAAAACTACATTGTCTTCTGCTCAGAAGCCGTAACACTAGAATAACTATATTAAGTTTTATTAGCTGATACCCGAGCGAAAAAAACAAAATTTCTATTGTCGTTGAAAGCAATATGGCTGAACTAAACCGCCAGATATTCAGGTGACCTATCTGAGTTGTCAACCTGATGTCGTGCTTTTAACGCATCAATTTTCTACATCATTATATGCGTGCTTAATTGGCGAAATAATTCTGTAAACATTATTTTTTGCTGAAGATATAAAATTTTTGCCTCAGAATGTTATACCTTTGCAGTGCATCTGTCTACAGCAGTCATCTGTTCAGTTCTATGTGAACATCGACGCTTTATTTACTGGTTTTTTCTTTTTCTTTTTTCTTTTTTTTTTGGTTATTACTGTCATAAATATATTTAAAAAAAAAAAAACAAAACGAAGACAAGAAGAAAAAAAAGAAAATAAGATAAAGAAGGAGAAAGTGTCGTTCAGGTAGAATAGAAACTGTCAGATTTGGATGGAACAGTTACTGTTCAGGTTTTATACCAATGTTCCATTGTTTTCGTTTTATAATTTTCGTTATTGGTAACAACAATTCTTTCAGTTAATGATTTCTTTTATTACAATTGTTTTGTTACTATAGTTGAGAAAAAAGAACATATTTTATGCTTTTTACTGTAATAAATCTGTTAAAAAAATGATTATCAAAATCAGGTACTTCGTATATTGTAAGGATTATAGAGTGTTTAAAGAAAAAAAAAATGAATTGAAGTGAATAAATGAAAGAATAAATAAAAAATAAAGTGTAAAAAGATCATTTGTTTATCTGTTTTTTTGTACCTTTGTCATTATTGCTTTTTCCTCTCTTTTTTTTGCCGTCAGATGTTAATTTTTCAAACCGAAATTTGAAGCATAAGTTGTTGACAGTTAAAAAAAATAGATAAAATTTTTGAAATTTCTTATGATTCTGAAAACTAATTGTTATTATTTAAGAACGATAGTTGTCAAATGCTAAGAAAATGAGCAGCTTTATTTTTCAATGTAATTTTTTTGTTTCCACATTGTTTAGTATCGTTTTAGCAATAAAAAGGTTTTTCTTTTAACTTTAGTTTTTCAACCATAGTTTATTGTTTCATAAATTTACGTACTGCAAAGTTGTTAGCAATGAGTTCTCTTATCGACGGCGTATATATGACATTTTTTAATACAATTACCTTGCAAATGTAACCCCTAAAAAATTTGCTCATAACAATTTGATGTACCTCAGAAGCTGTTGATAAAAAACATCCCATCAATTAGCGCTTACAACGATTACTGAAGACGACTGCAGCACCGTAAATGATGATTTATATTTCTGTAAAAACTGTAGTTTCTTTAATTATTGTATCAGATTGGTATAATGCATATGGACTTTTTTTCAAAAGTAAGTTTGTTGATTACAAAAAGAATGACTGCATCGTAATTATATTATTTTAGTGCAAGTAATCTTATTTAGCATTAAAAAGTAGTAATTTCTTTGATAATTATATTATATGAGCAAAACGAATTTTTTTAGCTCTCTAAATGATGCTGATTAAAGTCTAATACTTCGCGTAAAAGTTAACAAATGATTTTTCAGCTTCTTCAGTGGCCACTCCTTATGAATCCTGTAGCAACGGTGAAATGTGTCTTGGTTTATCACAGTGTATTGATGGAATTTGTCAATGTATAGAAGGCTTTAAACCATTTCGTGGATTATGTCAAGATCCAAATTTAATATTGCAGTCAACAGTTGAACCTGTAACAGGTTAGTGTTTCTTCAGTTCATCTTCACAGCATTCTACTACAGAAAGGTTAAAACTTTTTTGATACCAAACCCAATTAAAAAGATTGTGATTTGCGAATGGTTAATTTGTACAGTACTATGTGGAGTCGCCACTACTACTTTCGCACTTCAAATCATATCATTTTTTCAGGATTGACCTAATTCCAATTTTAATCTATCGAAAAAACCCTTCTAAATTAAAATAATTTTTTTTTACCATCAAAGATATTAAGATTGAAGATAAAAAAATTAATTATTTAGTCTAAGAAATCTTCGGTTTACATTGATCACTGCCGCTAAACCGGTTTCAGGAGTAAGCATCGCTTTGGCAGGACAATCTTGTGCCAACGGTCAACCATGTCGGTCGATGTCCAGGTGTGTTGACAGCATTTGCACATGCCCATATGGTTACCGAGCTTCGTTCGGTGAATGTATAAGGAATCTTACAGGTTAGTTTACAATTTATTACTTCACTTAAGCGTGTGAAAAAGCGAGATAGAAAGAACTTGTTCCCTAGCAGATTTAAAACATTGATATTCTGTAAATGCACAACAAATGACTATTATACTTCTCAGCAACTTTTAAGCCAAAAATTTTGAACATTTTTTATAAGAAAAAAGCTTGATAACGTGACATTGTACATCATATTCAGCTATTTAATCACATTACCATTATTACTATCTTTATTATTATTAATATCACTACTACTACTATCACTGCTACTAACGATATAAACCACACTTTAAAGTTGACCAAAAATTTATCAGGAAATTAATTCCTATGTTAGTATCTGGCTACTAGCGAGTGACCTACTTGGTGAAAATAAAAAACATAGAAGCAAAACCATCAAAGGCGCAGTCGGGCTGATCTGTTTCAAAAGCGGAAAAAAACTACCACTGACCCATAATCATCTTAACTGGCAGGCTAGCGTCCTTAAACTGCACTAAATCGTGAAGAATTTGTTCCCCCTACCTAAGCATGCTGCTGCTTAACTCGGTCTGTATTCTGGAGCAGATTTTTTTGTGTCACTGGAAGTGCAGGAAAAATAGCTGTCAGGACGTATTGTTTGGCTGTTTTATTTTCGAATGTACTCAAAGAAAAG